GCAACACGCCGGCACCCGTGCATGCGGTGCAGTATAACTACGAAAGTGCTCGGCATAGTTAGACACCTGGTATGTATACATTTCGAAGGCTTCTGTCGCTGTGGAAGAAGACAATTTTTGCGATAACTCTGATCATAGTGAGATGTTATTAGGAGAGTCTCACTGCCAGCAAGTCCTTTGCAAGTGAATGTGTTCATATTTCTAGTCAGTTACGTTCATGTGCGTTTGTAACATAGGATATACAAATTATTTTACGTAACTGTTTAAACAAATTAGTTTCAGTAACAGGTGTTATCACACTTATACTTTGTATAACAAAATTATTGTTGTTGATTGTAAATATAGAGCTATGCTTCCCGAGCAAAGTGTAACAGCTGTCACGGATTTCAGTTTATGCAACATTTGTTACATACACCACTTTGTGTAACAACGGTAACGTAAAATTGTAGCTAATTTGCATTGGCTACACGGAATGGTGTGGATGGACATCTGAAATCATTTGCATTGCACTAGAGCTAAAGTTAATTTAATATCTACGGTGTAATACTATGTAGAAATTATCTCCACTGAGCACAAGTACTTGGTCTTCTTGCGGATCGCCAAGAAAGTAAGTCAGTATTGAGAAATTGCGATTCTTTCGATCATTCTGTAGATGAAGAGAGCTCAGCGCCTGCGAGACTCGGGGTAGGCCAACCCGCAGTGCACGCATGCACTGCAGGCAAGATGTTGCCTATCGATCCGGCGCTATGAGACCTTGCATAGGCCGAACGTGGCAATGTCGAAACGGCAAATCACCTGGCTACTGATAAAAGTACGTAGATAGGATAGATAGAGAGAAAGTGAGTCAGAAAGGCAACTTATTGTTTTAATATATTTCAGCGCAAAAACTAAATATTATAAAACTAGATGGAAAAAATCGACTAATATTTTGTTGACATGCGTACTTTTGTCAGATGACAAGTGAAATGACGGACACACTTCTTGGATGGTCCTACCACAATAAAGGACGACAATTTAAGTGAAAGAACGAGTTCAATCTTGAACAAAATAGATTGTGTGTCCTTGGAATGACCCTACCCATGCGGGTGAAGCTAATCGAGGGAGCACGCAGCGGCCGCTGTGCCTTGCGGGGACTGTTGCTATATTTATATTTTGTGAGGCAGGCAGCACCTTTTGTGCCCCCTACGCTCGCAGCCCGCGGGACCCGTCGACCTCTCGCAGCACCCCGCCCCGGAAGCCCCCGGCTCCCCTGGTCTCTGCACCAGCTGCGCGCTGCGCCAGGCGGAGCCAGCGCCACCGGCCCGGGGTGGATATCAAAAGGACCTGACGACCCACGCTGTTGACTCACTACCTGCTCGTTAACAATGAGCTCCTGCCCCTACCTAGAAAATGGTGTGGATGTGTGTGTGTGCGTGTGTCGCCACACACCACCGCTGCTGACCCGGCTGCCCCCCAGCTCTTTGCCCGCCCCCCGCCGGCCCCTGCTGTTGGACGTGCTGCCCGCCGCTACATAGCCTCCCCATTCCCGCACTATATTCATGATGACCATAGAGACGCAGTTAAACCAACTTATGGGCATGCAAGTTGTACAGTAACTGTGTGTTTAGCACGTTAGCAAGGCAATTACCGAGGCAATTACCGTACAGTGGAGCCGAGCTGGGGCGGGAGAACAGTTTGAAACTGGCGCTAATTTCGACAATTTAGTTTGGTAAAATGTGCTTTTCAAATAATTAAAGGCTGACAAGGGTACGTCTTCGAGGGTACTCATACCACTTTTGCTAGGATAGATAGATATCTCAGGGGACATATGTCGACTAGGCTTGACAATGATTTTAGCTGCCCTTGGTCATTCAGTCGCTCGAGACACTTCTACGTGCGCCGCCCGTTTCGTTAACCCGCCGCTAGGCGAACGGTGACTCACCTACGGCTCGCACGGATGCGAGCTGCTGGCGAGCCGAGCCTCCCGGTTCCCTGAGCAGAACCAACTAACTTTCCGACGGAAGTTAGTGGGTTGCCGCTTTTTGCCTCTGAAAAACGGGAAAGTAGGTTAGCCTGGCGGGCTCAAATTGGTCCAGCCAGAGCAAAGCTTGCTTTGCAGCGCGTCAACCTTGTGGGACAACAATTGGCCTCGGCGAAGGACCCCCGCGACCCCAGGGCGCGCGCGCGGGTTAAACATACTTTGGCCGCGCTCCGCCCGTGCTCCACCCACACGACACGGGCGAGCCGAGCCCGGCGCTACCGCGGAGGTTTCTCCTGTTATTGTGCGGAGGTCGGGTCGCCGCCGCCAGCGCCCCCGGGGCGTAAGACCCGCACGCATCTTTTATGTAATTGCACGTATGCGCAGAGGGCGGCGATGTCACGCTCACGCTCCCCTGCGCTCGCCCGCTGTGCGGCACAGCCTGTGCCCGCTGCCCACGCGCCCGCCGGATGCAGGGTAGGCCGCCCGGCCCACACGCGTGCCCGACGGGACTGCCCACCTGCTCGCCGGTGGGCGCCGCCCCTTGGGCTGACAAAGGCTGCCAACGGCATAACGCGATAACGCAATTGCGTAACGCGCACCGGCCGGGGGATCTCCCCTCCCTTCCTCTCCCCTCCGCTCGTCTCCCCTACCTTCCTCTCCCCTGCGCTCCACTCCCCTGCTCTGCCCCACCTTCCTCTCCCCTGCGCTCCACTCCCCTGCTCTGCCCCCCCCCCCCCCCCCCCCCGCCCCCGTCACACTCCGAGCCCTCTCCGCCTCCGTCTTTCCGCCGGTAGTTGTGTGTGTATCGGGCAGGTTTGATAACAAGCAGGCCCGCCTCCCTTTCCACCAGACGGAGTTGCCAGCTCAATTCGCTTCGCCTGGCAACTCCGTTCGGCAGGGGCTGGGTCGCCGCGAGTGTGTGGCCGGACCCCCAAAGTTACCGCGCGCGCGCTTCTGCGCTAACATTGTTCTCCGCGATCACTAAGATATCCTTCCTGAACGTGAGGAAATATTGTGACTATTGAGCAGAAATAATGTTCGCAAAGCTTTGAAGGTGATGGTGGGGTTTGGGGACTACATTCAAGACACACGTTACGTCACGTGGTAAAGATCTGGAGAACACAGGGTCGGGCGGTGGAAAGAGGGATCATCCGATTGGCTTGGGGTCGGGGCCTTCTCAGCCCCGCGGGTTGAGCCTGTCCTCCCTCCTTCCGCGGTGCCCTTGCCCACCCTCTTCATCCGCTTTTGAGTTAGTAGGTCTTCGTGTCCATCCCCATCCGTGCAAAAAGGGTTTTCTTTGCCAATATCCAGCCCTGCGCTCTGCTCTGGTGATTTATAATTGCAATTTTCCTTTAACCGTACCGAGAAATACCCCACCGAGGCGCTTTCTATTTGTTCCCGTAAACATACAAAGCGTCCCATTTCGTTTCACACGCAAACGACATATGAGAAGAACAACCGTCTTTTTTTTTTTTGCCTTTGAGGCCTCTGTAAACTAAACCGTGTACCTCTGGGCCATGTAAAGCTCCTGCTGCTGCGGCTCCGAGGTCTCTCGCTCAGATGATCAGCAATCGTGGCGCTGCGCGCTTTGCCTCCCTAATTTCTTGAAGCGGGCACAGATGTCGCTGTGTAGTTGCCGAACAGGTGCTTTATTCAGGAGCTCCCCGCTGGGAGCGTGCTTCACTTGACTTTCTCAAAGGGGGCGGCGCGGCTGGCTTCGGTCGACGCCCCCCCCCCCACCCCCTTCTCCCTGCTTTTCACTCCTTCACCTCGGGGGCGCAGGGGCGCGGCTTGGCCATTGGCCATTCTGCTTCTGTTCTGCTTGTTAGTCGGTACGAGAGGGAGAGATGTTCATAGATAGAAAGAACAAGCAGGCCCGCCCTTCCGCCAAACGAAGTTGCCAGCTTCGCTTCGCTGCGCTGGCAACTCCGTTCGGCAGGGGCCGGGCCTGCTTGGCCTGCCGGCGGCGATGGTCGGGCCTGCGGCCCGACCATTTCTGTCACGCGATTTGCTGTAGAACATAATCAAATGATGTAACGGGCCTTCGGCCCGCAAAGCCCGTTGTCCTTAAAGTTTGCCCCGTAGACACGAGAAAGGGATGTAACGGTGAAGCACCGCGACTACAACCCACCCTTCTGCTTAGAAAACGTT